GCTTGAGCTGCATGATTAATTGAAGTAAAACTAAAATCACAATATGGCTTATTTCAATAACCAAATACTGCGGTTTAAATTTTGCACAGCACTGCATTCTTGTACATGAACCGGTCTCTTCAGCTTGGTTCGTGGCAAGTGCTGCTCCACACAAATTCATCTCAGGATCTGGGAATGCAATGTGTAGCAACCAACTTTTCAATACTTATGAGAAGTGCTTATAGACTGGCTGCATTTATATAGAAAATAAAAAATAAGGGCCTTGTCTCGACCACCACCAGGACCCAACAACAAACATATAAGGTCCAATAAGAGCGGGTGTCAAGGTTCTCTAGCACTGGCAAATGAACACTTCAGTCAGACATACAACTGGATGCAGATACCAACAGTGCTGACTAATGTTATTTCTAATAAACCACTTTAACATTACAAACCTCCAAATCACCAATCACAGGGTGTTGCGCCTTCTAGTGGACATCCTTCAGATCACACCTACAGAGTGGAAATTTAAAGTGATTTGTTCTATGTGCCTTACAAATTAAGGTACATCCTTTAAGCTCATTTAAATGTACTGCAGCGTTTTCCCACAAAGCTAATGATATTAGCGACATGGGTAAAGCGATACTACAGACTTTATCTCCGAGGCATTTCCAACGACTAAGCTCTACTGAGAGGGGCAAGTCGGGATAGACCTCAATTTAATAAAACCAAATAACACATTTTGAAATGTTACAGATAAAACGAAACCAGATACTATTAAAAAAAAAAAAAAAAAAAAAAAAAAAGCTAACATTCAGTGACATTTACCATTAGGACAAGCTTCTTCAGATGCAAAACATGCATTTTATGTACTCATTCCCAGGATTATTCACCCACATTTTGTTCTGAAGCCTGAAAGCATAGGGAAACATAAGAAAAGCATAGCATGTCTACATTTTAAGAACAATGAAAGGGAGTTTGAGTGTTCAGAAAGGCACATCCTCTTTCATGGTTTATAAGAGCAGTTGAACATTAATGCCAATCATCATCACAAAACTCTGGCAATTCATCATTATGGCTTCTTCATTATATTCTTACCCGACTGGCCGGTCCGTTCACAAGAGGACCTTTTATTCCATCCGAACCCTGAAAGCGCACACATCTTATTTGAAATGACATGTAATCAATAAAAAGCAGCAACATTTTCTGTGATAAAAATGTCTCTTCTCATAAGTAGCACTGTTATTTAGTGGCCACAACAGTGAGTTGCAAGAGAAGGGAATTGTATTTTTTGCACTGCACTTGTTCCTAAGCCCACCGTGACTAGACTGTGACTAGTACTGTGCCTTTCCTTTCCAAACCACTGCCAAAAATCAAAAACCCAAACGACTTACCATACTGCACATGTCAGTTACTATACTCTACAAGCATGGAGAGGCCTAAGAATTCCCTGTTGGGAGAAATAAAAGAACATTAGTCTTCATATCGTCCTAAATTAGACATGATGGGGATATTCCAGGCCTCATTGTCACCACTGCAACTATTCTACAGTGATGAAAGCAAACCTGGTGTTTCTCTAGCCAAGCAGATAGAGGAACTTGCCCTATTTGAGAAATTCCGCTTGTGATGATCTGCTTGGCGATCTACGAGATCCGATCAACCTTTAAACACGTGTTCCTCACAAGGACCAAATTACCCACAATGGATCCGTATAGAGCAATATAATTGCTGCATTTAACTACAGAAGCAATCGGAATAAAGAACATTTTAGTTCGCTAGTTTTCTCTACGCACACGATTCCGCAGGACTACTCACCACGTGGTGTAGTCTACTATTCGCTAGCACGTAAAAGAAAGACTTTGCGTCAAACCTATTAAATGTTACCGTAAATCAAACTTAAGAGAACACAATGTGGGTAATTGAATTGCTGAAATGGCAGATTCAGACACAAAAAGAGCCAAGTACCTAGTTTTAAGCCACACTTCTTCACAAGCACTCGCAGACGGGTTGAAGCTGAGAGAGACTCCGGAAGAAGAGCGTCACATTTTATAGCACAGGCTCTGACTTTACGACATTTTACGGCTCTGCGCTCTCCTCTGCGTTTCTGTGGTAACGTTAAGCAATTAAAATCGACACATGTTCAAAAAACATTCATTATGATGATGTTGGAAACAGCGGAGTAGAATTTTTTTCTGATTTCTTTGATGAATAGAAAGTTCAGAAGAACAGCATTTATCTGAAATAGAAATATTTTGTAACATTATAAATGTCTTTATCATCACTTTTGATCAATTTAAAGCGTCCTTGCTAAATGAAAGTATTAATTTCTATAATTTATTTTCCAAAAAATAAAAAATATACTGACTCTAAGCTTTTGAATGGTATAGTGTATAATGTTACAAAAGCTTTTTATTTCACATAAATGCTGATCTTTGGATCTTTCTATTTCATCAAAGAATCCTGAAAAAAAATGTACTCAAGTGTTTTAAATATTGATAATAATAATTTTTAAAAAAGGTTTCTTGAGCAGCAATTCAGCATATTAGAATGATTTCTGAAGGATTTGACACTGAAGACTGGAGAAATGATGCTGAAAATTCAGCTTTGATCACAGCAACCATTTTAAAATATATTCAAATAGAAAGCAGTTATTTTAAATAGTAAAAATATTTCAAAATGTTACTGCTACCCCTGACACGCGCACACACACACATTTCTAATAAAATCACTTAAAACTATTCAGTTGTTTGTTCAATGATAATAATAATAATAATAATAATAATAATAAATGTTGGAAAAGTCCAACTTATTTAGGCCCAATCAGTACCGACGCTACATATGCAGAGTACGCAGTTTGCATAGGGCACCAACCCAGTTGCTCAAAAAAAAAAAAAACCTTTGGTTCTATATTAATATTAAAATGAACAAATAAAAATATAAACATGAACACACACACATATATATCATCATTACAAAAAATGCATTTTACGGTGAACGCAGTAGTCAGTAGGCTAAGCAATAGGCTAAAGGGTTCAACCATAATTTTACGAAGTACGAGAATACCTTTTGTGCACAAAAGAAAAAAAACGACTTTATTCAACAATTCGTCTCCTCCGCATTACCCTGTAGCGCCATTTTGGAGAGTATCAACTGGACGTAAACAACGTATGTTGTTCTGTGTTAGCTGCGTCACGCCGGATCTGTTTCCTACGTTGTTGTGATTTGATCTGAACGAAAACAGCGTATCCGTGTGACACAGCTGACACAGAACAGCATACGTTGTTTACAGGGTGATGCGGAGGAGAGTGGTAGAGCTGTTGAGTTATCAGGCCCACCGGCTCAACCAGGCCCAGAAAAGTGAGGAACAGCAGGGCTGCGTTCCAGTTCATTTTTTATGCCCTTCACTCGCTAACTACCCTCCAGTCTCATTTACTCGGATGTACATCATTGATTACGTTGCACGAGTGCCCACTTCTGGCGGAACCCTTGCAATGGGCTGAACTGGAACGTCCTAAACCCTTGATCACTTAGAATCAGCTATGGAGTTGGTTTATTGTTTACAGTTCCCCCCTTGTTTGGTGCAGTATTCTGTACATGTTCTGTATGTGTATAGGTATGTTTGGGCTGATATAAACGTAATAAAAAAAAATATATATATTATAGAGTTGTTTGGGGTGTGGATAAATTAAATGCAATCTGCGATGACGTCATAATCGTGTTGCATTGTGGTCTATGGAGCGGCCTGAAGTGTGCATATGAAGCAGACTCACTCCCTCTGTCAAAATTGAGGGGTCGAGGGTCTGTCCATATAAACTTCCCTCGTTCACTTCGCGAAATGGAACGCACTTCAAAATGGCAGCGGGGATTGCAAGGGGAAGTGCTTAGGGAAGTTCGCGAGTGCATGTCTAAAAGTGGAGTGGAACGCAGCCCAGGTGTCTGCACTTGTAAAAGAGTTCAAAGTTTAAAGTTCTTTGTCATTGGATTTTTTTGCAAAAAGGAGTTAATTCCAAATTTTAAAAGCATTATTTCAGAAGGATAGAAGTTGTTTCTGTAAACTTTTGTTTTAGATGTTTTGGCACAACTAAAATAGGTTAATGAAACAATAAAACATTCCTAACATTATTATAATTATATATATTTAAAATAATTTGTATTCAGTATCTTGTGTTTTTAAAGTTGAGCTCCAAGGGTGCTGTTTTCTCCCAGTTTGATCTACAAGACAAAAAGAGGTGAACTCATTTTCAGGTGTTTTTCTACTTTATTTGATATGGGTTTCCAGTTCTGAACATGTAAATACCAAATATCATTCGCCATAGTAAAAAACACACTCTAGATATAATACTTGAACAGTTTTGAAATTGGACAAAAACTAAACAACAGATTCTGGTGTCTGACAGCGGTTGATAATGACATTATAATTAATCCCTTAATTGTAGTTTATGATATTTCTACAGTATTTTAACTTCAGGGTGACTTTTACCAACATAAATGTGACGTGCACAAAAATTAACATAGATGATCAAACACAATGTACTAAAGATCTTATAATATGGTTTAAATAAACATTCAAAGAACGCATTAACAATTTAAGATATACAACGAGTGAGGCGAATAAACAAAGCCAATCGGTTTCTTTTTTAGTCCGAATGTTTAACACTACCAGATGCCAGAATCTGTTATACAAGTTATACAAGCATCCTCGACCTCAGCCTTGCACCCATGCCATCCACGGCACTATCACACAGTGTAAGGATACCCATAATGGATACCCATAATGTGTCTTTAACAGTGTAACACAGACAAGAATATAACTATGCCATATGTATTGTATCCATATTAAAAGCTAATTTCAATCTAGGAATCTCTGTAAAGTGAGCGGTGCAAAAAAACACACTGTTACAAAAGAAAAGGCACGATAATTCGGCCATTCGGTGCAAGATTAAGGTGAACCAGGAGGAGAAATACATTGACTTCAATCAGAGAACCACTATAATTTGCAAACAATTGCCTGAGAGTTAAAATGATCAAAACAAGACAAGATTTATTTTTTGTAACATGCATTCACATGTCCAGTCAATAGAGCAACCTGACGGGCAATGCGATAGCGTTCAAAAGTACAAAAACGGGAACTCTCTTTTTACAGAGGAGAACAGCAGTATCAAACATTAAGCAAAGTTATTTTAATGACAGTCCAAGAACATTGCATGCATTTTTATGCCATAGAGTTTGTGTACAAAAGCAAAAAGATTACAAAAATGTCACAGGAGTGGCTTGCACGATGAACGGTGTCAGAGAGCGATAAGGTTTCTCTGTTGGTGAACATACATTGTATGTCTGTAGACAGGAGTTCTCCTTGGAGTTTTAAGGTGTTTAATAAATGGCCAACATCTGAAGTCTTATTTGCAATCTAGAGTTTACCTTAATGAATAAAATCTACTGGTAATGAGGGAGAAAAACACAACTGTTAAATATACTTTAATAATATCTACGATACCCACCAACGACATGCTAAATATGCAATAACACAGAAAGGTTAAAATAATACATTGGTTATAATTTAATGCCACAAAATTAAAATAACATGTTAAATGACTTTAGTATTTAAAAAAATATATTTAGTCATCTTTAAAATGCTCAAAGGAAGAATAAGATAAACATGCTATTAATAAATCTCAAAACAATAGTTTGTTCAGTCCTTTTTTTGATTTACAGACTGAAGAATTTAGAGTAAAAAATGTTAATGCAATATATGAATTGGGCTTGGGCAAAGTGTTTCATCCCAAAATTGGTAATTAACACATTAAAACAATATAAGGATAAATGTCCAGATGAAAGTTGTATAATCCACAGTCTTCTTCTTGAATAGCGCATTTTCAGCATTTGTGTGTGTTCTCTGTGTAAACTGTTTCCTCTCTAGAAAAATGGCTATTGAAACTCTGCTGTGTGCTGTCTTAATGTCACACTGTTCATTTGCAGTGAGAGTACAGAAAGTAAAAGATCAATTACATTCATTAAGTAGACTAACTAGGAGGTTATTCATGAAAAAAAACAACAACACACATTCTAGCCTGTTGTAATAGAAGGGGGCAGCAAAAACTGACAAATTTGTTGAGAGTTTATATTTGTAAGATTTTTTTTAACCTCCATCAACATATATAATCTTCACAATCACCTGTCTGTTTAACACAATTGTGTAGTTTATGCCCTGGCCTTAAGATAGGCATCAGAAAGGTTTTGGACTGTAAACGATATTGTTTTGGAAAGTGTATTTTCAGAGCCTCTTTGCTGCCATGATGCATACGCATAATGATACATTTACTGAGAGCTGATGTCTGTAAACAGCATTCTTGAATACACATAAAACCTCGAAGATAGCCAAGAGAATGGAGAAAGAGAACAGTAGAGTGGTTAAATATTTGAAGACAGGAACTGATCTCTTGTTGGCTGTGGGAACATCTCTCCATTTTCAATGAGGTTGTACAAACACAGGCTGATTAAAGACCCCTATATAAGCCCAAAAGCCACATCAAGCCACACAATCAGACTGTAAGCTCAACACCAGGAAAAGTACAAGAGATAGAGCAGGTGTGTTAGTTGGGAACAGATACTGGCACCCATCTCTAAATCAGTGGACTGCTGGAGTGTTGATCCATCCATCACAGGCTGCTGGGCTTTACATCGACATCATGTAGGAAAGGGGCAGGGCATCGGTGCAACCACTAGAAAGAGAGCCTTTCAGTCATTGTACCCTGAACCAGGGAGTTCATTGGTTAGCGTGTGCCAGCGCTCGATTTTCTTGTCCTTGTTTTTCAGACAGTCAAACCAGTGTTTTAGCCTCTCGCCATTGGCATTGATACCTAAAGACACTCCACCTGGAGAAAGGGTGGAAAAGTTCATTAAAATGGCTAAAAACAACCAAAGGTCAATAGATCCCCATGGGACTCGGGCCTTGACTATAAGGATGACTTGCTCAAGAGAATTTCAGGCCTGTTGACAAAACTTGCCCAATTGGGTCAGCACTATATCTTACATCTTTTGATAATGTACATACATTTTTTGCAAACTTCAACATTTGGTTTTCTGTTACATTTGTTTGCTAATTCAGCTTCTCAACTGTCAGTTTAAACTTTTTAGTTGGATAAACTCATCTAGCTGTCTGGTACAGATATGAGGTTTTGTCTAAATTGCAAGAATGGCTTGTGATAGTCTTAACATCAGTATGAATGGGTTGAAAATATCAAACCACTAATGTTTTTCCTTTTATTTTCTATTTCACTTAAATGTTTATAGCAAAATAATTAGGAGTTTTCTGTCCAATTACGGTAAATTATTATATTAGAAAATTATACTAAATTGTCTTTGCAAATCAAATCTAATATTTTATGACAAAAATAATTTGTGTTATATTTATGCCCCAATTATGCCCCTTTTTACAAGATGTAATGAAAGTCTCAGTTGTCCCCAGAATGTGTCTGTAAAGTTTCAGCTCAAAATACCCCACACATCATTATATCATTTTGAAAATGGCTGTTTTGAGTGAAAACAAAAACATGCTGTTTTTGTGCTTGTATCTTTAAATGCAAATGAGCTGCTGTTCTTCGCCCACTTTTCCAGAATAGGGCTGTGCCTTTACATCTCATACCTTGGATACTCTGCCAAAACAACGTTTTAAAGCCATATCAGTTTAAACTTCTGATATAGTGTTTTCTGAGCGCACACATCCGAAGCACGCGCACAGAAAGCAGCTGTCACACAGCATGTGAGTACTAAACTAAGTTCTTTTTCATGTCTTATTGCGCTTAAGCTGTCAAATACACACAAGGTTATCTTAAAAAACACACAATTTACATAAACCCAGTCAGTTGTCTGTGAACGTAAACAGCTGGGAAAGAAATCGCATGTTTATATTAGATCAGTGTATTAAGGTGGCTTTCACACTGGGCTCGTTTGCTGTGGTTCGAACCCGAGCGCGATTGTTCCCGGCACACCCCCGCAGCATTGGTCTGGTTTCACACTCTCTTGATTCTATCAAACCCTGGTGCATTTGCGATCATCACAACGTTGAATCTAACTACGTTTTTATAAGCAAAAAAACGAGCGTTTAAGGACACAAAAGTAGAACGCAACATGTCATATTACTCTGAGAACTACACCCACTGGAGGAAACGTTCATTATTTTTAACCATGTCAAAGGATTATTTCACCACCCTATGTGAACCTGAGAGGAGGAGATATATTGAAAAACTACATTTTATTGGTCTATGTCAGTGTCCCTTTTCCTTACCTTCCTTTTGTTAGAGAAATGATCCAACTGAATGGCCCAACGTGAAATACCCTGACATCTACAACTATTTGATCGAATCACCAGGTAACAGCATCATTTAATCTACCTAACAAAGATCAAAACACATAGCTTAGATAGCTTCAACCCTTAACTTATGTAATAATAATCACAACACATAGCCTCAGCTTTATGAAAGTTAGAGGGAAGCAGGGGTGCAGTTGATTACTAAAATGATGGGACAAGTTAGCTATTAGAAAGCTTATATTAGCTATGTGTGTTAGCAATATGTAGCTTGGGCCAATTGGTATTCGTCCACTTTGATATTTACTACTTAATATGAACTATTTGATAACATTTTGATATTTGCTTCTAATCAAATAATGAATGTTTCCTGTTGCTGATTACGTTTCCCTCCATGGGCGTAGTTCTCTGAGTAATATAACACGTTGCGCTCTAATTTTGTGTCCTTAAACGCTCGTTTTTTTTGGATCGACAGCTTATAAAAACATAGTTCTGTTAGGACCACTATCGTCAAAGATGATTGACAATTAGCATACAGTTTGGATTGGCGGTATGGTTCTGTTCTGGGCAAGAACTCCCTGCGCATCCATGCAGCCTAGCATGGATGAGAGCAGGGAGAGCAGCGATAACCCCCCCCCAGGGTAAACAGAACAGAACCAACATAAATGTTTTGCAGATATCTTTAAAGTTCAATAATTTTATGTATACATTTTAGAATTAGTCTGATTCAAAGGAGAATCAGAAGCTGAATCCTGACTGACAGAAGAGGAGTTGGGGATGGGGGAGGGTAATTAGCTATTGAGCAATGTGAAAACTGCTGATAATACTGAGGGACCTTATATATGAATGCTTAGATTGATGTCGTATTCCCATAGGTTGATGGGGATCAGCTGAGAGTCAGCTGATGCGAGCTTGACTAACGTGACCTACCAGAACTAACGCTACGCTTGATTTCTGTTTTTTTTAGCTTGTTTGCTATACACCTTGATACATAGCAGCTTTTAGACATTGTTCTGTTTTTTTGTTATAAGTCAGAAATGACAAGGAGGCAGCTTCCCACAATACAAATTCAATGGAGAGGGTTGGATTGTTTACCCCCCTCCCCCGGTGGGCGTGGCTTTCAGATTATGACACGCATCGCTCTGCCTCTATACGGCAGTCTCTGTCAACAGCCGTTTCACTTTGTACAGATTCTGCGATTTGACTGTTCAGAGACACTGCTTATGATTTATGGGGATTAAAAAAGGAGTGGGTGGATTTTTATCATTATAGGGTAGTTGTGTACAGACACTGCCAACACACATTAATGTCCAAACACCATGTAAATGTGAATTTTGCATAATAGGGGGCCCTTTAATGAAAAATGTAAAAATTATACAGTTACAATAAGAAATGTAAAATTATTGTAAATATAAAATTGCTACGTTCATAAAAAATTACATTTATAATTTGGGTCCTGTGAAAATGTGAGCAGGGCAAGAAGAAGTCTGAACTACCGGCCTGACCAGGCAATCAGAAAAAAATCTTTACTGCTGAGCCCTGGGATTGCATCTTAAATTGTAAAATGAAGTAACCTTTGGTACTACATTCAATAGGTAGCATACCATTAAAAACAGATCTTAATGCAAAAAACTAAAATAAAAATATAGCCTAAAAATAATATAAAATAAAAATAAAAACATAGATTTAACAAGATTTTGTAAATAGGTCCTACCAATGAAATCATTGGATTTGCCAATGTCATAGTCCCAAACAGTCACCTCCAGGGTCTTTTTGCTGAGGTCAGCATACTTGATCTCATAGAAAAACTCCTATAATAGGGAGAATGGAATTAGCATTTATAAAAACAAATGTGAGTTACAGAGTCTGTAAATCAGGCATTGGTCAGGTTAATCTTACTTCATTGAATTCGGGGTTGAGGGTCTTCTTTTTGACAGCTGTCTTGTGCTTTGATTTTTTGTTCTCATCTGGCTTGAGATACCTGAAATACATTGGTGATATGGAGAGAGAGAGAGGAAAAAGATGCATTTACATGCATTCACTAAAGGTTAAGTTGGCTTTCTTTCAAGATTGAAGATTTGGCACAGGAGTAATTCTGAAATAATTGAATTTTAGCAAAGGCTTACTTGTGATGCACAGGCAGCAAAACTGTGAACACATTTGAAACAAATGCAGAATAGTGTTGTTGAATGCAACAAGTCAGTATGTCCACCAGAGGGCATTGCAGCTCTTGTATATAAAATTTGGAGGGCTGAAAGAGACAGCCATGAAAGGACAAACTCGTTCATTTCAAAGGTTCATTGCAGGACATTTTCACCATTTGCTTGAATAATAATAAAAAAATAAAAAAATAAACGCAACCTCACTTCACTTGTCTGCTGACTTCAAGGTCATTAAATGTCTCACTGCTGCTCTACTCCTGCAATCCCTCTTAATGAGGGTCCCTTGCTCTTTTACAAAGACCACCAGACAAGCAGACTGATTAAAGAAGATCCTGGCACTGAACTCAGCAGCCTAATAATCACAACCTGTGTCTTATTTTGTAAAGTCAGTAATATAAATTCCCTGGCTATGTGCATGGGCAATGGCATTGTGTATTTTTATCCATCTACGAATCAAACGAATTCATGAAAGAATTCATTGAATAACAGAATGAAAAACTGAAATAAATGAAAACCGCATCTTGTTCAAGAAAGTACAGAAATTACAGTAGACATTTAAAGTAAAAGTGAAACTTGTGAAAGGTACGGAAGTTCTAAGCGGCCATGCATTATTTTTTTTTCCCTTCTTGTTTTCTCGTTATAACGACTTATTTTCTCGTTATATCGACATAACGAGAGTTGTTTTCTCGTTATAACGACTTATTTTCTCGTTATATCGACATAACGAGAGTTGTTTTCTCGTTATAACGACTTATTTTCTCGTTATATCGACATAACGAGAGTTGTTTTCTCGTTATAACGACTGAGAAAACAACTCTCGTTATGTCGATATAACGAGAAAACAAGAAGGGGGAAAAAAATAATGCATGGCCGCTTAGAACTTCCGTAGAAAGGCTTGTTTCCCTCTTATTGTAACAGTCTCCCTGGAGCTCTCTTGTCAGGGAGTGGCATTTGCACCTGTAATGGCGCCACTGGACGACTATTTTATTCAGCTTTTCCTGTGAATAAATGCATCTGCAGTTTAAAATGATAAAATGAATAAAAAGTAAATTTCATTTACTTCCCAAAAAGGTGAACATCAAGTGATATCAATCCGGGAAAACTGATCTGTGCATAGATACGCAAGATCTGAAAACTGCAGATGGAGACAAACTAATGACAGAAATACAGAAGATTTGCACTGCTTGTTGTCACCAGCAGAAACAACAAATTAATAATTTAGTATTCAATCTTTTGTAGAGTCAGAACCAGGCTTCATTTCACCCAACACATTCCAGTCCTCAAAATACAAATGCATTTGCATTTCTCCCTATCAAAGACACCGTTCTAAGCTTATGACATAACTGCATTTGTATCAAGCGTTGACTAATGGTTCAGATGCTTGTGTTTGGCAGGATAAATGAATTTGCTTAGGATTACCTTATAAACATATATGTGCACATACATACATCCACATTGTAGGTAATCATTCAGCAAACGCTTTTATCCACTGCAATTTATTGGTACATTTATTGCAGGGATAATCCCTCAGAAATTTGGGGTTAAGTGCCTTGCTCAAAAGCTCATGGCTCACTCCTGTGTGATAAGCTTTATGCCGAACGTCGTATGAACAAACCGGAAAACAGGTCTCATCCCATCTAGTTGTCTGAGAAAGTGTTAAGAACTTTTAAGGTAATCAGTTAACCTACCTAGTTCTTTTTATTATATGCATTTTATTCTTACTATCCAAATTATATAAAGAATAAAAAACATTTTGATATTAATTTGCATATGAGATGGACATCAGTTATGTTCATCTTTCAAATTTGGAAGCTTGTATCCACCCAACAAGATACTCCACCCTCAGATCAGCACTTCAAAGTCAACATGAAATAAATATTCACCCCATTTTTTAAATGCGTAATTGAATTTATTCAATTTATCTGTGCATAATTTTTTTACATAGTTTTTTTTATCATTATCATAATTTTTAATGTCACTGAACTCAAACCCAACAACAGATCTACCACTCCTCCCATTTCCTGTGGTACATCTAGGGTTGGGTATCATTTGAATTTTATCGATTCCAGTTTCCGATTCCGATTCTTATTGTTTTCTAGTTTCGATTAGAATTAGATAAAAAAAAAATCCAACAAAAAAATTAATTAATCGAACATTTAGATTTCAAACATATTTATTCTGTCTTTTTACAAAGCTGAATAACATGAGCAAAAATCAGCAGCCTACAGAACGCTTAGGCCTACAAGAGGAAAATTTGCCTATGGTTTTAACAAAAATATCACAGCAAAAACAGCTAGACTAACATAACTTTCAAACATTAAATTGTTAAAGACAAGTAAAGAGTCAGTAATAAAATAGGAACAAACAAATCAATTAGCATTAGCATAAATAAATATTAACAAATATATTAACACATTTCAAGTAGGCTTTAACTACTTTCCACTGAAAGAAGTTGGCAACAGTGGCTGGGAACCTGCACCGGGACTGTGGTTCTCTGTGCTCGCGCTTCAGATGTGTCCATGGCACACAAACAGTGTGCAAGTTCTTTCCCTTCCTCAGCTTAAATCATAAAAAAATCACATTCGAATGCAAACGGGGAATCATTAAGTGGAATCGAAATGCACGTGTCTTATCGAATACCCGGTTATGGGAAATTTAAAAACTGGTTCTAACTACCTAGGTACATCTAACCTAGGTAAAGAAAAAAAAAATTACCCGTTATTCGTAATTTTGACAACAGTGTTAATGTATTCTGACTTAAAGGAGACATATTATGCCCCTTTTTACAATATTTAATATAAGTCTCTGGTGTCCCCAGAATGTGTCTGTGAAATTTCAGCTCAATATACTCCACAGATCATTTATTATATCATTTTGAAAATGTCTATTTTGAGTGGAAGCAGAAACACGCTGATTTTCGGGCATGTCTCTTTAAATGCAAATGAGCTGCTGCTCCCCACCCCCTTTTCTAGAATAGAGCTGTGCCATTACAGCTCGTACCTGCTAAAAAACATCTGTTTTGGTTCTGATTATCATGTTTATCGCGCTGAAATCATGCAGTTTAAATCATATGAGTTTAAACTTCTGATATATGGTTTTCTGAGTGCACACGTACAGAAAGCGGCTGTCACAGCACGTGAGCACTAAACTAAGTTCTCATTCACACACAAGTTTACGTTAAAAACACACGAGTGTTAAAGATAAACAGCTGGGAAATAAATTGCATGTTTATTTTAGATCTGTGTGGCAGCAGCAATATTCAGTAAATAAATCAATAAATCCACTGCTCTCTTGTCTCCTCTGAGGCTGGGACTCTAAAAAGTGTTCTGTGCTCGTCTGTGCTGCCAAAGACAGAACAGTTAGCATGTTTTGCTCAAACTTTCACCATGGCATTAGAACAAGTACACCGTTGTCGCTTGCGAAATCAAAATGATGGCGCCATAGGTGGAAACTTACAAGTTAAGGGGCGGTAATATTATAATGAGATCCCTTTGCCACGTCACCAAGGGAGTGAAATCAGACGCGCTTGTTTTCTCAGACACTTGCTGAAAAAGGCAAAACAAAGTTACTGGGTTAATCTTTTTCACGTTTCCTTGGTTGGTAGATGCACCGGAGACCAGATAATAGCACTTAAAATCTGGAAAAGTCAGATTTTCATGATATATCACCTTTAAATGTACAAAAAGATCCTGTCTTATTGATATACCACAGATTTGAGTCGACTAGCTATACTAAATTCAACAACTGGAAGCTGAATTTCCTTTGATATCTGTAATTTACATACTCATGCACGGATCTTCTGTTCCATAGGAAACGTTTTCACTAAAGCAAATTATGTGGATTCTGATTATTTTAGTATTTTTGCACATAAACAGTTGCATTGTGCTTTTGGTACAGGAAAAAAAAGCTATTGTACTACAAGTGAAACAGAAAACAGAAAATCGGACAGATGATAGTGGGGGGGGTATGACTTACGTTTTAACATAGGGGTCAGAGAAGCCATTGGCATCCATGGCAGCGAGATGGGCACAGCGGATGATGCCCACCACTAAGCCACACTTCTGAGAGCTGTACTTCAGAGAGATCATGATGCGCCCTCGCTCCTCCAGAGACTTGTCATCTGTTTTGTCGATCTGTTTTGAGACACACACACACACACACACATCGACAAATAGAAAACACAGCCGTCAGTCCAAAGTCTAAGAACTATAAAGAAAAGGATGGATGTAGCTTGTACATAATATAAATAAATATTTAAATGAAAATGCCGTGAATCTAGTTGCATTATCAACTCATAAACAGGCAGAAAATTCTATTAAAACATAAGTGTTTTGTCCCAGTAGATAATTTATTAATACACTCAATTAGTTTTGTGCACCACTCTCTTCTTTCCAGTATTTTATGGCAATGCAGAACCAGAGCTGAGATTATCTCAACTGTTGAATGTGAGGTAAATCTTCTCTCTTTCTCAGAACTTTGTGGACCCACCAAACTGTCAATCATGAAGTTAATTAGCTGTGGAGGAGGCATCTCTGTTCATCCCCCACACACTGCTGTCTCATTTCCGTCCCCACTGGAGATCACACACTCACATACACACACACACACTCACATACACATTACAGAGTCTCTTCACACAACAAACACGCTTTGTACTGCTTGCCAGCTGGTGGAGTCACACTCAGGCCTAAGAGCAGATCCCAAGTCAGTCTTTGTGTTTAACTTTTGTCACCTCTACCTGTACTGCAGTCCTGAGAGCAGATCCCAGATCAGTCTGTGTGCTGATCTTTCAGGTGGGTGACAGATATTAGATGGGAGTGAATAGAGCTGAAAACTACTTGCACAACTTTTAAAAACTTACTGGGAAATTTCAAAATTTCAGGCTTGGAGAGGATTTCATACCTGTCAAATGTAATTTTAATGTAATTTTTTAAGTTGAAAGACTGATCAAAATTGGTGCTTTTTAAAACTGACTCATGAAAAGTAAAAAAACAAAACAAAAACCTAAAGACTTTTGGGGAACGTTTGTCATTACATAACAGTCCCAGTCCTGTAATTTGATTGACTAAGCAGTGTCCTACAAGACTGATTTTATTTTTATTTATTTAAATATATACTGTTTTTGTCACTCTGCTTGTCTGTGTTTGTACTTCCAGACACACTGTCAGTCTGTGCATCAGGGGCATTCAGTCCATAAATCTGCGGATGTTCTGCATACCCAAGCCATTTAAAGAATGAGTTCAGGGACGGTCTAAATATTAACATTACTATAAATCCCATTGTCATTCCAGGTGGAACATCAGACTTGCATAATAAAATGCTTGGAATAAGTATGTAACTGTCTGTAAATTATTTATTTGCCAAACAACAGTAATTTTATGCAATTTTTTGCTGGTTATGGAGGTGTGGAGGAGTTTATCTCCAACCCTAATTAAACACATCTGAACCAGCTAATCAAGATGTTCAGACTCACTAGAAACCTCCAGGCAACTGTTTTGAAGTTGGTTGGAGCTAAACTCTGCAGGACGTTGACCCTTTAGGTGAAGGTTTGGACACCCCTGAATACAAGTGAGTGGACCCACAACAGCTCACCCAAATTCATGAGAATTCATATAGATATGAATCGTCATTATTGTATGGCATTTTCATTGGTTTGTTGGCAATGTGGGTGATTTAATGCGTCAGAAAAGCTGTCCGTGAATTGCTAGCCCAGACAGAAAAATGTGCTGTTGCTGCCAGATCTTGCCAGATGTTTTGGCCTTTTTGCCTTTATTTTGATAGGAGAGTAAATACTGACAGGAAGCGAAGTGGGAGAGAGAGTGAGTGGGATTGGGACAGATCCACAAGCTGGGACTCAAGCTTGGGACAAACACGGGCTCTGCCACGAGGATATCAGTGCTGACTCAAAAATCATATTTGATGCAAAACGAACTTGACTAAATGAACAGAAATGAACAAAACAGTCGTTACGGTATATTTTCATTTGTAAAGCAAAGCAAATTTTGAAAGTCCACTGAAAACATATCTTCTCATTTTTGGCACAGACAGAGTATGTTTGTCACAATCTGCACAAGAAAACAAAGATTGAGGATCCAAATGCAGAATAATCCAAAGCTGTAATCCATAATCAGGCATAAGGTCATACACAGGGCAGTCTGTCCAAGCAAGAGCACAGAAGTGCAGTGACACAATACAAGACTAAGCAATGAATGACTTAGGGAACAGTTTACTTGTGATTTTTGCCTTAAATTGATTTCTAGGACACTTTTTTACTTTATGAAGGGCAATATATTCCAAACCTTATTAAATGTACGTGTCATAATTTACGTCAAATTCTTACATTTTATTAATACATTCAGTTATATAAGTTCATATTCAGTTAATAAGACACTGTATGGTTGTTACCATTCAAAGGAAATCAGTATTAACAAACTCCATCTTTCCACTGCAGAGGAAACACAGAAACTGCATTGAAAGTACCATTTAGATGTATTTACTCAGACTGTTTACTCTTTTACTTTAAAATGACTGACTTTGCTGTGGCTTTTCTCAAAATTTGCAGTGATATTTGCGTTATTTCTTATTGTTTTGCAGTGAAAATATACCACAGACAAGATTCTTCTAACATTATGACTTTTCTGACTTTGAGAACCAATGCAGGGCTCCAGACTAACATTTGAGGACACCAACACCAGTGCCAGTTCTACAGAAGGTAGCACAAACACCTGACAGTAAAGCACTCACCCCAACCGCATATGTACATCTCGGAGATGTCTATCTGATGTCTGCATTTACATATGCAAGATGTATTTTTTTTAGAGTGTTTGCTCATCTGCAATACGTCTCTAAGACATTTCCTGTCAGATGTCAAATAGACATTTTTTAGAATGCATGTAAAACAGCTTCTGAGACGTTTATCAGATTACACAGCAGATGTTTCCCAGATCTTTAGCAGACGTCTTACAGATGTGCTTGTGCTGTCTTGGGTAGTTGAGATGCAGATAAAATTAACTTTTATTACTGTCATTCATAATGTCTAAATATAATTTAATAAATAAAAAAAATATTTATTAGGGAGTGGAAATGGCTAATAAGCCTATAAGTACTTCTCTGCAGCCATCTACTAGTGGTAATTGAATGTCTTTTTTATTTTTAAATAAGTGTTTGCTTTCTTACATCATGAAACTTTTAGTTTTATAAATGGGGGCAATACTTAAATTCGGTAATATTTAAAGCTTTGAAGTGCTGGGAAAAGTTGTGTCAAGCATTTAAAAGCACTCGAAAACATTAGACCATTTCTGCCACAAGTTGTTCAGTTTTAAATCCATGGTGAATGGTGGTGATTTGTGTTTATTCAACAATGTTTTTCCTGGTTTCTACATCAGTGTCGTTTGTTCTGATATCTGTAGCTTTAACAGAATTCTGTGCCGAATGGGAATGCTTCTCACAAGATTTCACAGAGATGTTATTGATTCTGCGGGGAATTCGACTGCTTCCTTCACTGTATCTCCCAGCGCTGTGTATGACGGTGTTGCGTGTAGTGATGTCCGGTTCACGAACGAATCGTTCTATTTAACCGGATCTTCTTAGTGAACCGGTCGAACCAGTTCACCAAATCGAACTGAAGGTAAGGCAGCAGAACACACTAATCCACAAATTACTTAAGTTATTCGGTGTATAAACGTGCCTCTGGCACAAAATAAACCAATATCCTGAGTTATTCAGTTACTCCAATAGTACATTGACTGAACCGCTGTGAAAAGAGAACTGATGATGGGATGAGCAGAGCAGCTGATAGAATGAGCATGAGTGCAGCGAACGTACACGCCCACTGCTAGCGGTTCTCGTTCTCGAGTCAAGAACCGGTTGCATCGGTTTTCGGATCACTGGTACACTCAACCGAGAACCGGTTTCTTTCGGACACGTCCGATTTGAGAACCGTTGAGCTGATGATGCGTTTCTCGTTCTCGAGTCAAGAACCGGTCGCATCGGTTTTCGGATCACCAGTACACTCAACCGAGAACCGTTTCTTTCGGACACGTCTGATTTGAGAACCGATGAGCTGATGATACTGCGCATGCGTGATTCCGCGTGAAGCTACCGAACAGATTGCCTACTAAAGCGCCGTTCACACTAGCAGCACCGAGAACCGTTTCTTTCGGACACGTCTGATTTGAGAACCGATGAGCTGATGATACTGCGCATGCTTGTTCTTTTTCAAGAGGACGAAAGCATGTTATTCAAGTATTTTATTAAACATCAGAAAGTGTGATATAAATATATAATATTTATATATATATATTTTTTTAAGATGAATGTATCTAATCTGTGTACTTTATTCAGTTGAGGATTCTGTTAGGTAATAGGCCCGAGCAGATAAACGAGTAGCACATATTCGTTCTGCTTTCGGTTCGTTTGTCCAATGTAGCTCTTGTAAATCATGATGAGAACGCAAGGCTGTTCATTCCATTTTTGGAACCTTTCTTTGACTGAATGCGCATTGCGATGAAGTCACGGGACACGTCTAAACCCAAAATCTGCAGCAATTATGAAAATTTGCGAGCTCTTGCGAAAATTGCGGAGTTTGCGAAAAATTCAGCGATCGCTGAATCGCAAAATCCTGGAGGGACTGTTTAAAGCGGCAGTCTGTAACTTTTTTTGGTTAAAAATGTTCCTAAATCAATATTCAAGCAAGTACATAACCAGCCAGTGTTCAAAACTATTGCCTTACTTTAGCCCGATTCACAACGGTTAGCTTATAATAATGTTTTCTAATTTGAGTGGTACGCGTAGGTTTTCGCGGGAAATTTGAGCATGCTGCTGCGTCATTACATCAGGTCTGTAAACATAAAGAAGTTGTCCCAGCTACTAGGCTTTATTGCATGTGAGGATCCTGCAGGTGGCAGATCATTTGTAGCCTTTTCTCAAAGCAGCAAGAATAATTAAATGTATCAATTTGATGGCGGATTGTAATCCAGAAAGGATTATGTGTTTATGAAACACATGTGAATGAAATTAAATGATATTCCAGTTTTAAATGTGCTTCTGATTACAGATAACCTGGGATTACACAATATTTGTATTTTAAAAACAACCAGTTCGAAGGGAGCATAATTTGCTTTTTGGGT